TTATTTGATCATTGAAAATGGCTTCTTCTTTGTCCCGCCCTTCTTCTTGCTCTTGAAGCTTTTCCTTTTGCTTTTCATAGTTCAGGATCTCCATTTCAAAAAATTCAAATACGAAGCCAAAGGATCTTCCTCCCCTTTCTGCATCTTCTTTCTGTTTTTTAAGACTCATCTTCAATTCCTCCAGGAGTGATGACATTTTAAACACTTTTGAACAACCACCCGATTGACTTTAAGTAAAAACAGAAAAAGAAAGAAAAAACCAATGCCAAAATTTTTTTTTTAAAATCACCAAATGATCCCGACTGTTCCTTCTTGTTTCTTTCCTTTACTTTTCCTTTCCGTGGGTTACTGTATCTTTTAATAAGATTTCAGTTACAATGTATCCTCGGGAGTCTTTTCAAAGTTTCACTGTTAATCCTCTTTATTTTTCCAGGTGGCACTCCATTTTTCCATTATTCCAAGTCCCACCCTTTTGCCGCCACTCTTCTCCTTTTTAGGGCTTTAAAATGACCAAGAAAAAAATCTTTATTCTCCTTTTGACACTTAGATTTCAGTTTAAGGTTGCCTATTAGTGTCAAAATAGATTAATATAAATTTCTTTCCATACCATTTGTAATTGTCAATATAAAGGTAAAAAAAGGGTTTTTAACCTCCTTTTCTCTTTCTTTCACCGCTTGATGATCTTCTTTCAGAAGTATCCCTCTAGGTACTTTTAGATTCAGGGTACCTTGCTTAGATGTTCTCTGTTGTTTAGCCCTGTCTGTCCTGCTTTCCTCTTTGTCTTCCTCCTGCACAATCTTATCCAGTCGGGTTCTTCTTTGAGGTGGCCATTTCTGACCACCGCTGCAACTGCCTTTGGGGAAGGGAGTTTAGACCAGCCAAGGAGGAGAGATGCGGCTCCCCTCCACTCGGCTAGCAATCTCCCCCCTCTTTACCACCTCTACGGGGTGGCTTCAGCTCCGAATCCAAAGGATCAGGGCGCTCCAGCAGTGAGCACAGATTGAAATCACGCACGATGATGGATTTTGGTCTGTCCCTGAAGAGACCCAAACCGGAAGTCAATATAATTGAACTTAATGTATCGATTAAACCAACTTTGTTTTCCTTTATAGCCTGAGGATGAAGCTTTGGTTGTAGGCATGACAAATGGCATATTGAATGTTAAACATCGGAAGCATGAAGGAGTAAAAGAGGTTTTGCGTCGGAGAAGGCCTGCATACCGAACCTTTGTGAAAGGAAAAAATTATCTACCAAAGCAGGTATGCAGAAAAAAGTGTTCAGAGAAAGCCTTATTTTTTTTTTTTAGTGAATAGCATAAAGAAGTTAAGATGTGAGGGGTAAAATTGGGCTATATTTCACTGCATATTAACAAGAGTTAATTGGGGACCCGGTTGGAAAAGCTGATGTGGGGTAGCCAATTAAAAAGAAAAATAAACAAAGATGCTACTGGTTAACTGGATACTAAACATTTAAAATGTTAAGCATTAAAATATTAAGCATTTAAAATACAGATGTGGGCAGGTGGCAAACATGGTGATTGAAGGAATCAAGTTGCACTATATTCAAAGTGAAGTGAACAAAGTTTGGAAGGCCTTAGAACAGCCTGGTGTCTACTGAGACCAACTCTCACTGAGTTAATTGAATCTTTTTTATCATGTAAAAGGATCTGTTTTATTTATATAATAAGTATCCTGCCTGGTCTTGTACTGCATAGATGACAGTTTAAATCAGTGAAGAATTAAAATATAAAAGGACACAAAAGCATGATTATTTGAAATATTGAAAACCTTGTGGTGGGGTTCATACCAGTAAGTTCAAAGTGTACTTATGGTCACTGAAGACACCTTTTCTCTTGGCTTCCTCCAGTGAGCTCTGCCATTGCATACAGATACAGAAGAACATTTCCACTTTTTTGTATGGTCTGTGCAGGGAGTTTGGGGAAATAATCCAGAAGGTATTCTGGATTGCAGTGATATTGTTTAAGATAACTGCCTAAAATTACCTAGTCAGGTGAGAACCCAGAAATCAGTACCCCCTTTTTTCCATGCAAGAACCTTGCAAGAACAAACTATATCTGTTACAGATTCCATTTGGCAGAGGACGAGATTAATTAAGACAAGAAGAAAATGAAGCTAAAACAGGATTTTTTTTACCGCTTACGTTGTTGACTGTTCTCTGACTCTTTTCCTGTCATTAGGAAGATTTATTTGTCAGCAAGCCTGTGAAGAACTATTTGAAGAAATATGACAAGTTTCTGCGAACTTTCCAGGTTTCCAAGGCTCTGGATGCAGTACTTCAGGTAAGATAATATTACTTGAACCATCTGCTTTATTTTTAATAAAGTGGGTCTGCAGTGGGTCTGGTCAATATTTTCATAAATATAAGCCTTCTGCTATATATGCAATAACATTGGTACTACGGTGCACTAGTGATACTGTTTATTAGTGCACAGTACTAGTGGACTGTGATACTAGTGTGGAATACCAAATGTAATGTTAAATGGTATTGGAGAAATCCTCTGTAGATTTTACGTGAAGAAGTATTCAGGACTAGGAAAACAAAGAGATGACATTGTTTTGAGTATTGCTTGTTTAACTAGAATCTCTTTATATTTTAATAGAATTTTACAAAGCTCTGATCACATTGTAAATTGCAGTACTTCAGGATTACAGAAGAGATAGGTAGTCCCAAGGTTCACAAACATTCTCTTATTGCTGTTTACACTTTAATTCCTAAAGTAGCAAAGTGGTTTTAGATTGGTAAAAGATGCTGCTAAAGTTTCAGGTTTTCAAATTTGTTTTATATCCTCCAAAGGAAAATAAAAGCTCTTCCCTCTGCCATTAATATTTCCTGAAAATTTCTATCTTCAGGCAGAGCAACCTTTAATCCAAATGGTGGGTGGAAAACTGAGTCTGGCCTGGGGACTGGATTGAGTTCTCCGCTGCTGTAGCAAATTGAAAGATAACAGGTTAAGTTCTCCCTCCTGAAGGACCTTCATAGACAGCACTCTTCTGCCTATGAAAGGAGTTGAGGGCCATTGCTTTCCATCTCTTGCCTGGACAAAGGCCTTTGGTAGAGAGCATCTTTCCCCATCTTTCACTGCATGGCAGGCTTTTGTTTGCAGGAGGAGGCAAAGTGGTGAAAGGTGGACATAGTTTTCACCTAATGTGTTTCCTTCTTGAGAACAGTGATGAGTGGCTAACAGAGAGCTGTGTTTGAAGGCAAATCACACAATAATGCCAGAAGGGAGAAAGTGGTTTGAGGAAAGAACTGAGACTTACTTGAGGCCATGTGGGTCAGATTAGATTTGGTTGGAGCCAGGCAGTTAAGTGGTTTCCCCAACTCAGGTTGGCAAGCGCTCTGTAGGATTTCATATTGGTGCCTTTCCTTGGAGAAGCCAGATTTTGAATTATGCACCATTTGTCTGCAAATCATATATACTGTGCCACTGACCTGGAATCTCTCACCACTTCAAGTTCTTATATCAGCACGTAGGTATTTTTTAAGGAAAAGTGGAATGAAAAGATTTTAGTACACTTTTTATATGTAGTTGTTACCTGCTTTTCATCATTAAATGTGAATGTGGAATGAGCCATTTTTAAAATATAATTTATTCATATAAGAAAGCAACATATAAGATTACCTTGTCCTAGAAATAACTGTAAATTAAATTAAGTTGGTTTGGAAAACAAAAAAAAAGTGTTTCATTAATGATCCTTGAACAGCTCCTTGCAATCAAGACCCTTAACAGATGTGTCCTTGGTCCAGCAATTGGACAAGATTGCAACAAGCTGTTCTGAATGGCTTTTAAATGTAAACTGTTACATTCTGAATTAACTCATTTTTCTTTATGTTGAAATGCCTGAGGACATTTTATTGTAAAAATGTGTTCTTGAATAATTTCTACTTCTAGGGCCCTGAAAAAAAGAATCCACCTGAAGTTACAGTTGCTGTCATGCAAGAATTAAACCGCAGAGGAACCCTGAAAAACGCACTTGCTGGGCGGGATGAAAAGCAGCTCAGTGTCCTCCTTTCTTTCTTAATAAGGTTAGTTGTCAAAGACAACTACCGTATTTATCGGCGTATAACACGCATAGGCGTATAACACGCATCTTCATTTTAAGAGGGAAATTTCAGGAAAAAAAATTAAATTTCTAAATAAAAACTTTGAAGCAAAATAAGGGTAGCTCAGAACTTTTTTTTTATTAATATTATTACCACTTATAAGGTAAATCAGTGGTCCCCAACCTTTTTTGTACCAGGGACCGGTTTCAAGCAGAA